GTGGGAGGAAGCCGGAGTACCCGGAGGGAACCCACGCAAACATGGGGAGAACATGCAAACTCCACACAGAAAGACCCCGGCCTGATGGTGGAATTGAACTCAGGACCTTCTTGCTGTGCAGCAACAGTGCTAACCACCGTGCCGCCCCAGTTACAAATACCTCTAATTATTATAGGCAGAATTGATCAGTGATTAAATCTGCATTTTATCTGTCAGAAGCAGTGTGGAATTATAAATAAATAGTACTGACTAATTTTTAAAAGCACTCAGAGCAGCAACCTTTTGGCGGTAAAGATGATTCTCACGCCAACAAAGTCAGGATGGTTTGCTACAAACTGCCTTGAGATGTCCTGGCAGGTCTTCAAAATCCAGGCCTTGTCATAAGTGCGGCCATCCAAATCATATATCTAAATATAACAAAGAAGAAGAAATTAACACGTGTGAATCCATTGGGTACATCAGACACACAGGGAAATCAGTATATATAGAGTATAGTTAGAATGTAAGTATTAAAATACCTTTGGAAGTATAGCGCGAAGTTCAAGATACATAACATTGTCCATGTAGAACTGGCTGAGGCCCTGGTAGAAATAGTCTTTGAACACAGGAGCATAAGTAACCAGACCATACGCTGCCTGGAAGGTCTCTTCAAATATACTCCACACCACAGTCTGAGTGGGGTACACTGCCTCTGGATCCTTATCAGTGAAGAGCGTCAGGTTGCCCATGATGCTAAGACCAAGTATGCAGATATGGTTGTGATAAGACCAACAACTGGCTTATACTCCATACATCAAACATGCACAAAACATTATATTGTTAACATTTTCCTGAGGTTGAAGTTAAAACTATGCAGGATTATTATTAACTCTTTGAAAAACAAGAATCACTACATTGTCAAATTAAACCGTCCTACCTTTCATAATAGCCGGGCTGTTTATGATTACGATAACAGACTTCATTCCCTTTAATGAGACTTCACCTTGTTCCTAATAGTTTCAGTTAACTGATAATATCCGGATGTAATATTTCACAGATTTAAAGCCACTTAGTTGTGCCAATAAAATAAAAATACAAGAAGGACAAATAGGGATGGGTATCGTTTAGGTTTTATCCGATACCGGTGCCAAATCGGTACTTTTGAAACGGTGCCGGTGCTTAAACGGTGCTCGAACCGGTGCTTAAAGAATGGAGAACACAAACTTTGTCCAAAAACCTCTCATGTTCAGCTGTTTGTTTGTTTTTTGTAAAACGATAACAATGTTAGCCTTTTCTGCAGCTATGGGGCATATATGGTATCACTCTTGGCTGGAAGCAGTGCTTAAACAATGGAAAAAAAACACAAACTTTGTCCAAAAACCTCTCATGTTCAGCTGTTTCCCACTTTTTCTTTGGTCATTTTAGCCTTTTTGGCCAGGGTGAAGGGAGTATCTGCCATCAAACAAGAAGACAGCCGCATGTAGCTATGATGATGTTTGCTAGTTCACCTTACATGCATTAATGTAATAACGTGGTTAGCCTACTCAACGTAAATTACACACGAACAACATTAAGCTACTCACGCAGAGAAGAACGGCTGCTGCTGCATCATCATCCTCATCATTTCTGCTACACTGGCAGAGCTAGGGGCCAGGACTCTATTCTTCGGGTTTTTGGGGGATGTTGCTCCGGGTCCGATAACTGGCAAACCCACCCAACGTGCACAGTGTGAGGTCTCGCAGCAAGCTATCAAATACGGCGCATTTCTCGGCTTTAAAAAAAAAGCTATGCGTCGCCAGGTGTTTCATCAGTTTCGAGGTGTTACCTCCTTTGACAGTATCACAGTATCAGCTTAAAGCACTTGTTGCTGCTGACTTTGCATATTTTGCTGTGAAGTACAGCCAGACTTTGACCGCTTCGCCTTGGACATTTTTAATCTGTAGCTCTGCTCTAACTGAACGTACGTACCTGGCCCCGCCTACTATCCTGGGAAACGTAAAATGATTGGCTAGAATCTAAAGTGTATCACAGCTCAGGAAAAAAAAGCACCGAAATAAAGCACCGAAATGTGCGCTGCTTTTCGGTCTGGTTACTACCGTTTATGTCACCGGACACCGGTACCCATCCCTAAGGACAAATTAATACTGTTGCCTATTAATTTTAGGAGGCCAGAGGTCAAAAATCAGAGGTGCACTCGAGGCCATGTGTTACGGGGGTGCTCTCACACATGATCTCAGCATTGACAGGAAAATGTATGGAAATGCAGAGAAAACTAAATATACCAATAAGAAGCCTCACAGAAGCTTAAAGAACTCGGTGGGACGATTACATAAAAGTTACGCAAGAGTGTTTCTGTCTCTTTCTAAATTATTATTTTTTGCAACACAGACAAGATCACCTGTTGTCGAGATCCGTGGTGTTCACGGTCTTGGCCCTGAGGCTTTCCAGCAGGGACCAAGAAGAGCAATATGGCAGAGGCTTCGGTTGCTGAGACGAGAAGATGAACCTGACGGACCGGCTAGTAAAGCAAATATAGCAATGTGGCCGATAGCTCGCGTTCTTCACCAGCCATTCTACATCTACCATGGAGAAGTCATGGAGATGTAGAGCTCCACCTGAAACCGTGAATAATAAAATTATAATGAAATAAAAACTGTGATACTCTGCATAAATATTTTTGCAACATTTCCTAAATGAGAATTTTGTTATTTTCCAATATCTTTTGGGAATACAATATTATTGTGTCAAAATTAGGTTCTATCCATGTTTCTGTCAGTAGCTGTGTACCTTTAGGCATTTTCTGCAGCAGCTTGAAGATGGGACTGTTCCTGATGAGTTCCCTGGCTTTGAAGAAGTGCATAGCAGGAGGGAATTCCTCTCTTTCCATCTCGTCTTGTTTCATTTTTAACAGGCGAGCATTCAGACGCTGTTCGGCGTCAGTCAACACCTGCTGCCCACCTGTCTGCATGGAGGACTCCTGCTTTATTAGAGCCTCTCTCTGCTTGGGGTCCGGGATGGACATGCCACCGGTCAAGTAGAGTATCGACAAACAGAGCACAGCCGCGTGGGGTCGCTGTAGCAGGGCTGCCATTTTAGGTAGAGATGGTGGGAGCTGGTTTAAGACAGAAAACGCCACGAGTTAAAGCAAACTGCACTGAGAAAGCACGGCAGCCTCTTTGCGGAACAGAAAACAGTTGTTCTGGGGTAAAAATAAAACGCCAACCTATAACACCGGCGAAACAGAGAAAACAACCAGGTGCCGCTTCCTCAGCGGGTATTTCCCTTACAAAATTCTATCGTAATCAGAATTACTTTGTAGAAGACAAATTCACAACTTATCACAGCAGACTAAACACAGAAAAAGAAACAGGGGCTATCGTTAAGTTAGCTTAGGCTAACAGCAGCCCGACTTACTCAGAGTGTTGGTGCACAGCGACTAGCTTAGCTGGTGAAGACGACTTTGTAAACAGTCCCGGCGAGAGTCGCTTTATGAACAGAGATCATCGGAAAACCTTGCTCGACTATGTCAGCTAAAAACGTCCGCATTCTCTTTTAAGTTGCGCTTTTAAGACGACAGACTCACGAAAGTAAACACTGCGAGACGCAACAACCTCCGTTGTATGTTTTCTCTTTCTCACTCCGTCGCTTTGCTTAGAAGCCTAATGATTGGCTAAAGCTTTTCCCTGGAATAATTTGATTGGTTACTCTAACAGCGGAAACCAGTCGTCAAGATATATTAGAGAGAGAGAAAACAAAGTAACGATTAACCAAACAAGAACGAAAAAATATTTTTGCAGGTGACGTCATAATTACCCTGCAAACAAACAAAAAAAGAGGAAAAATACGGAAAATTCATTTCACTGTTTGTAAAACAAAACAAAAACCTTATGGTTTTGTTGATAATAAAAACGAGCAGTGGGTGGGGCAAGAGATACACACAGAACTTGCCATCCTTGTTTCCTTTGTATAAAAGCAAAACAAACTTTGGTTATTGTTTCCACAGCTTCATCAAGTCAAGTTTTAGTACATTTTGATCATATAGTAGTTCTTTAGCATTACTGGCATGTTGCGTTTTGCATTTCCGTATTTTAAAAGCTAGTTGCACAACAATGTGCGTAATTGGGCTCAATTAAAGCGCCTTAATTACATGCCTCATTTGCATTTTCTTTCTAATGCCAATTTTGGCCTCATTAGGCCTAAACAAAAGAATATATTACTTTTTATTAGGAGGAGCCCTCTGACGTCACATCTGTGACTCCTGCTGACAGGAGAAGGGTCAGACAAAGCAGCATTCAATCTGTGGAGGGTGTTCATCACGAGGATAAACACTAATCAAAAGTGATGGTGTAAAGCCTCCAAATACATTAATGCATTGTCATGCATCAGCCGTCACATTGTGGACTTTTTCATTTCATTATTTTTAACGTTTCAGTTGCTCCAATAGTAATTTAAAAAAATAAATAAATAAACCCAACCTAGTGTTTATTTCTCAAAAAAAAAGGCCAAAGTGATGTTTGAGAAACATTTTTTTTATTCCTAAGAAATGTACAGTAGAGAAAATACTCCATTCCATTTCCAAAATAATCTATGTCAGTCAGATAAGAACTTGTAAACGTCACTTCAAAATGAAAGACACAGGTCTTTTCTTCTCCAATGGCTACTGAGGTAAAAGACGACTGCTTAAAAACATCAAAAACATTGAGAGAAAAAGAGACAGACGCCAGAATTATATTAAAACAAAGTCCAAAAATGTACAAAAATTCTTAAAACAGCAAATAAATATGATTCACATTTAATCACGCCTAACTGGGTTACAACTAGTGCAGAGATGACAGCAGAGTAAAGTGAAAGATGAACGCGCACTTCCAGTCATCTGGTGCCGATTGTATGCACCAGGAGAAAAGAGAAAAAAAAACCAAAACAAAAAACCATCTGTACACACAAACACACACCTGTACATCATAAGATAACATCACAACCTTACAGACCTTATTAAAAAATAAAACAAACTGCCCTTCATACATTAGACAGCACGAGTGAACACACTACCTCCTTAGTGGCCCCACTGAGCTCACCAATACTGCCTATTTTAACAAAATAGCAAATCATCTATGACAGGTCTTCTGTGATACATTTACAAAATTGTCTCATAGCGTCTAGCTTTCCCCGACCCAGCTTCTTTTCTTGAATATTTCATTACAACATCCTATAACTTAAGACATTCTAATGCTGCCAAACTGTATACAGCCCATTACAGACCTTAGACTGGACTACTGCCCACAACCTGTAGGTGGAATGGCGTTTGATCTGTAGAAGTTAAGACATAGTCCCATCTTAAAATACTAAATATTGTCCATCATTCTCTAATAATATTTTTAAAAAATGATAAGAATGAAGGTGCAATACCATGGAACAGTGGACGCCTCAGCACCTGCAGACAGCCGAGTAATCACCTCTACTTGAGGTCGTCAGTGAGCACCATAATTAGTCACAGAGATCCGACACACAAGCTTTTTATTTCCCGCCAAAGATGGTAAAGCATTGAAAGGCAATTTCATTCTCAGTTCTACAGTCATGAGATCTAAAAGTGGTGCTAACATCAATTCATGCTGGTCACAGAACGTCACCCCACAGGAGTCTGGCAGAGTACGAGAAGAAGTGGATAGACTTTGTAGATGCCACAGACTGGCTAGATGAGGTAGATTATTCTTTTTTTCGCCATTGCTAAACTTCCCCAGTGGGGCTCGCAGACAAAGAACCAAAATTCATTGTGATGACAAATGATTTGACATCAAATTAAGTGGAATGTAGTAACAAATTAGATCCTATTAAAATCCAATTAACTCTGACGAAAGCAATATATTTAAAAAAAAGAAAAAAGAAAAAAAAGGGGGCAGTTATTTATTATTAAGGCCAATGACTCTCACAAGTCAACTTCTTCATGAGGTGGATTGATTTACCACAGCTGCAGTCTCATTTTCTTTATGCTGTTCCTCCTTCAAATAATTCAGAACAGTACCCGTATAAAGAAACTGTACACCCTGAGGATATGTTTAGTACTGACACGCGGAAGGAACCGTAAAGGAACAAAGAACTAAAACTTGTTGGAGGACACTCGAATAGCCAAATAATTTTTTTTGTGTATGCATTTGCTCTGTGCACGTATATACACCAGTGAGTATATTGTCCGAAATAAGTCTGTGCAGTGAAGGGCGGTGATTAATATAGTATACACTCTTAGATACATTTACGCATTAATAAGTATCGACTAAAATACGACTATCCAAGGCCACTTGGTTCCAGGATGTCCAGACTAACAGAAATCCATAGTGCACAACAGAGAATCACACATATTTAGATAACAATGACACCACCCTTGCCGGTCCCTCTCTGCTACTCAAAGACATTCAAACAAATGAAGGCAGCTTTGAATGATGCATATACTGTGTGTGCTCCAGAGAAAGAAAAACATTAGAGATTGGGTGGAAATGAACAAGAAATGGGTGGGATGACTTGTGCTTCAGATGGATGATCAGTGTTGTTTGTTCTTTCACAAGCAGCTGCTGCGCTGCATTTCCTGTCTACACATTCACTCATACATTCATAAAAACAAACCAAGGCAACTACCAGGGGCTTTTGAGTTGACTAGGTTAGGGTGACAGTCTCATAGTACCTCCTTTTGTACACCTGAGTTTAGATATGGTTGGAGAAGAAAATCGTGGTCAAAAAGAAAACAAACAACCCCAGTCTCCTCTTTTTCACAGTCCTGTCAGTAGGTGCAGTATCCTGCCCTACAGTCAATAGACAGGATAAGAACATTATGTTCAGTGGTCACTAATCCGTCCTTTTACAATCTGACGGCTCACGTCGAAGAGTGCTGTCCAGTGTTCTTGAAGGCAATGTCTCCTGTGTTTAACAGGTTGACATAGTGGTTAAAAGGGGCGCCCCTTCTGCAGGAGGTTTAAAGTTCAAATGCTCACGCTGGGAAGCAATCATGCTACTGGAGTGTCCTCGAGCAAGTCGGTGAATTCCTAACAGTTTCACAGCTATTCCGTCAGTGACCTCCGTGAGCTCTTGCGGTGGAGGGCACACGAGAAAGAGAATTGTTCTCCAAGGCTCAGTAACATTTCACATTTTAATTCTACTTTGTAGTACCAGCTGCCTGGCTGGATTTTTAATCCCACTGCTGAACAAAACTGTTGCACAGTGGCAGAATATCAGTAGGAAATATATTCGGAAAAAGTGTCTCTTCTTCTCAGAAGCGGTTTGGCTCACTGGTTTATCCAGATGTTCGTTGACAACATCATCTCTGAAAGGAGAACAACAACAATCAGTTAACAATGCCTCTGGCAGTATTCGTCTTGCTGTTTCGACTGGAAACCTAAAAATCAACAGGATAAAACACAAGTTTTAACAATTTATGAAATGTCTTTATACTCACTTTAATCACAATCCCTGTTTACTGCCAAGGCCGCTTGGAGCAGCCATCATCTGTTGTCTGTAAATAAATAGACTTGTTAGCTCTTGCAGTCCGAGTGCCATTGGTAGGACAATAAGACTCTGCAACATTATGCTGCTTGGTTAAGACTGTGAGACTGATGTGGTCATTTTATTTTCTTATTATAGTGTTAGCCTTTAAAACAAGCAAACTAAATTACAGTAGTGACAGTAGTGACATAAATATATCAGGTAATAAACAGAACATATTTAAGCCATCATAGTTAACAGTCAAATACCCACTGACAATATAAACTTTGTAAGAATTTACCCTGGATGCATGAAGCGTTCTGGTCCCACACCTCGCTGCTGAATCATCATGCCCTGAAAGTGCCCCCCAGGTCGGGGGTGTCTGTACATGACCATGCGTGTTTGGCCAGGGGAATAGGGAAGCTGCTGGGGCCGCTGCAGAGCTTCCATCAGGTGTGAGTGGGGTCTTTGAGCAGCATAGTGTCGTGGATCAGGGTATGGTTGGCCAGCGTAAGGGGATCCATTTCCAGCTCCACGGGCCTGGGACATCATATGATGGACCACACCTTGCTGCATTCCTGGATGTAAGGCTCGAGGGTCGTACACAAAACCGGACGTCATGTGCGCCACAGACGCATGTGGATGCTGCATGCTACGGCGTTGAGCAGCAGCATTATGGCTGTCAAGGTCCAGGATTTCTTTTGGGCTTTCAGGTTGCTCTGAGCCCTCATTGTGGGGCCGCTTTGCTGGACTGCCATTAATGCTGCTGCCTCCACCAGCTTGCTGGTTTTCACACTTCCCTTCCTCTGTGCCTCCAGGATGAGTCCCTGTTCCTGGCATTGGGCCTGGGGAAACCAAACTTGTACCGCTGGAGCCTTCAGACCCCAGCGGTGAGACACTGCTCTCCTTTAGCTGACCATTAGCTCTGGCACTGGCTACAGGTAAGTAGGCATTGTGTGGCATTGCCTGGTGAGACTGATAATGAGGCCGATGCCACTCCTCTGGAGGGTAACCCCCTCTGCCCGTGGCTTGGTTATGGGCCTGAGTTTGGGGATGGGGTTGGGCATAGTAGCGCTGCTGCTGCTGCTGATACTGATGAGGTGGGTACACATTGCCATGACCATGAGGGTGCGATTGACCTGGCACGTGGTAGGGGTAGGTTGACCCTCCCTGCTGCTGCTGGTAGTTGGTGTTGGGAGCAAGATTGTGGAGAGCATTAATGGACTGGTTATGATATGGGTGGTGAGCAGACGGAGGTATGGACCTATTCATATTAGCCCGGTTGTAGTGTGGAAGTGGAGGGTTCCCCATGCCGTAAGTACTCATAGTTGAATTTTCTGGGCCTTGCGAGTGAGGAGGTACGGCTGGATTGTGCCCATCTGATGGCCCGCTTGGAGCCTGTATTCCCACGTTACTACCCACCAACTGAGTTTGATGGCGATTTGGACTAAAAGCCGGGTGTTTATAAACACTTGATGTCATCCTGGTGTGCTGTGGAGACATGGCAGTGCTTCTCGTGTCCAGCCTCGTAGGCTCGCTAGGCCTTTGATCTCCGAGATCAGCTGGACTGGGCTGAGAGGGTAATAGAGGGGCAGGATGGCTGGGTGGCAAAGAGGTCAGAGGGGCTGGGTGTGGGGGTCCAGGCTGGGCTCCTTGAGTAGCGCCGTGTGGCATCCCATGCATGGGACTGCTTTGTGTAGTGCAGTGTGGTGAGATGCTTTGGGGGACATGATGAGAGGTTAGCAGAGAATGGTGTTGCTGTGTGTTCTGGTTCAGTGGCTGAGGAGAGCTCTGAGGGTGGCTTTCAGGAGAGGTGCTGCCCGCCTCAGGTTGCTCATGTTTTTGAATGGCTTGCTGGGGTTTGCCTTCCTGATTTACACCATCTGCGAGTTTTAAGTTGTCTGGCATTTGCCGAGTGGAATTCTGAGCTGCTGCAACATCCAGTGGTGGGAAGTTCTGAGGAAGAAGTGCAAGGCTTGGAACATTTGGCTGTGGACTGTTTGGTTTAAGCTGTGGGGGATTGTGTAGAGCAGGATCAGTGTTACTCGAGTTGGGATGGGATGAAACAGGAATGGTACCATTACTTTCACTGGCAGAGTGTCCCCGACTATCCAACTGGCTTTCAGCTGAACTCTGTGCGGCCGCTGATCCAGAAGGATTCTCTTCTGACCTGGCCAAGGTTGGGGCTGGGGGGCTCTGCATTTTATCCGCAAGCCCACAGTATTGCCTTGTGGGGCTAGGGTTGGATGGGCTCTCTTGGTTAACTGGAAACATGTTTTTGTGTGATGGAGCTTCTTCGGAAATGTTGCTGGCAGCCATCTTGTTCTCTGACGCTGTGCCTGTTAACGTACAGGAGAAAACAATGTTGCAGGTTAGACTGTTTTACTATGACTAGAAGTACAATGCACGCGTTGTCCCCGTTTTGTGCCACTTATCCAAAAGAAGCACAATACAAATCAAATTTTAAAAAACGTTCTGTTCCATTTCTTTACAATTAGGTTATAGAAACATTTAAAGGCGTCCCCGTGAGGCTGAAATGATGACATGTAATCTTTTATGTTTTCAAAGATATCAGCAAAAATGTAACCAAACTGATGAATATTCAATTTTTAAAGTCAAATTGTAAGAAGTACTTGACAGAAGATGGGGGCTGTGCTGATTAACAAATGAGACACTAGAGTCTAGTGCTCTATCACGCAGACTGGTGAAATACAGCAAGAGAAGGTCAGGTCTACCTTTGGGGTGCAAGTTTGTCTGCTGGGGAGGCTGTCTATCTGGGCCTTTGTCTCTAGCAGGATGCAGCAGCTGAACCTCAGGGGCAGGGGGGAGCTGTTGAGAGGGGTGAGCTGGGATGCTGCCAATTCTTGATGGGGGCCCAGGCTGCTGAAAGTTGCCTGTGTGCTGATGAGGGGCACCAGCAGGGGGTCCAGAAGAGGCTGACAGCTGCTGCAGGGCCAGCATCTCTGGGCTTTCCAGCATGGAAGCCAAGCGTGTCCTGCCGGAGGAGTCTGAGTGGGGCACAGTGGGACGTGCAGACATGAGCCCAGGGGAGCTGGCTGCTGCAGTCATTTGAAACTGGGCATTGGAAGGATGGTTGGGATATCCGGCAGCTTCTGGCCACGGTTTATGACCCACAGGTGGGGGGATTCCACCATAACTAAAGTTGCGCTGGTTCACCATGTTTGGGTCTTGAATAGACATGCCGCTGGGCCTCTCCTGCCCCTGTTGATTCATACCACTCCACATAGTAGGTAGTGGCATGCCAGCAGGTCTCAAGCCTGGGTAGTTGTGCTGAGGTGATCCTTCCGGGCCTGAGAACCTGTTCCCCATAGGATGCACAGTGTGGCCCTCTGGACGGTGGTGGGATGGGTAGATGCTGGCCTCAGGAGGAGCTCCAGGCTGTAGGGTCATGGGACGTGGTCCTAAGCATGGGCCATGAGTCGGACCCATGTACGAGTGCTGCTGCTGGTTTGGATCTGGACCCACTGGATACCTAGGCCCCATGTGGTGTGGCTCAATCATGCGTTGCTTGGAGGAAAAAAGGAAAATAAAATATGAAATATCTGGCTTTGTCTGTTATAACAGCATCAAGATGCATCATACACACAATTAGGTGGTTGGTTGTGTGTAATAGGTCAAGCATACCTGAATGTTAAAGTTGTGAGGCAACTGGTTTAAGTTGGGGTCTCCTTGTCTAGAAAAGTGAACCTGGTAGGCAAAGCGGGGATCCATGGCCATTCTTTGGGCATACATGTGTGGACCATGAGGCCCAGGGGGACCAGGCTGATGGAGCTGTTAAAATAAAGAATTTATTATATTTTCCCCCTCTTGCATTTCAGACAGGAATTAAGACTCCCAATAAATAAATATATTTAAAAAAAGGATTAAAGTCTTATCTGTGGATACCTGTTGCCCTGGGTGGTATAACCCCCTGATATCTCCTTCCCGGATATGCTGCTGGCCTGGAGGCAAGCTGTGCGGGTGAGGGGGGCCGTTAGCCCAATGAGGATGCAGCCGTGCCAGCCTGGCATCCTCCTCTGAAGTTGCGCTACTTTTGCCCTTTTGTGAGCTTCGCTTACGTTGTACTTGCTCAGTAGCCCTGATCAAGCTTTCAGGCCCGAAAGCTTTGCTGTTACGGTTGCGTTTTCTTTCCTTGCGCTCCTTGTCTTCTCGACTGATGTGGAACTCTTCGTCCGTGTCACCATCCTCAGATGGAAAATGTTTTAATAAGGCTCGGCTAAAACAACGCTCCAGAGACTCGGCCATGATAGTGTATTCTGAGGACAGGAAGACACCAACATCAGCGATTCTTTTGTGATAAAACCCTGAGAACTTTTTTTTTTTTTTACATAAACGCACATCTTCAGCAAAGGAACAAACATACATCACATGTCTATAGCATCTACTCATATACTCAAAGAATAACGCTTCATTTACATGCACAGTCACTCCCACAAATAGCCACTCATGAAGTGACCATTAGGTGAGACACATACCAACAGAGCACAAAAATCCTGTCTTGTCCTGGCTCAGTGCTAACCAGCTGACCAAGTCAGAGGGCGTAAGTTTGACCCTTGCTCCTTCAACCCCTTCCCTCTACTCTTGCCCCACCCTGGGCCTCCTCACCACTCACCTCCCCCCATTCCCTGAGGAGAGTATTCAGTTGGATGGATGGCTCCAGACAGGGGGCTTAGGGGCTGGAATGTTTCTCTGGCACTGCAGGACTTGAATCCCCCAGAGCACTCGAGCACAACTCAATCACTCCTCATTAATCACTGTCAAGGCTGCCCCGGCCCCGGCCCCAACACAGTACTAAGACCGCCCCCCTTTCTTCTGCGATCTCTCCCACTCTCACCCCCTGCGTCTCAATGTACATATGAAATTCTTTTTTCAAAATGCATCCATAACGCAACGGATTTTGATGCCTTTAACAAAGTTATTTAAAAAATGGTTTAGAATGCTTAATTTACCGCTGTCTTCTCCATTGTACTCGACACAGTTTTCAAACATCAGCTTCACGTCGGAAACAAACTCCTCCTTAGCGACATACTCCCCGTTATTGAGCTTTCTCTCAATTGTGGATAGGTCCATAGGAGTCTGAAATGATTAGAACGACAATAAAAATAAAGCAATTAAAATTATGAATCAATAAACTTTTTATATGCATTAATGCACAAACCAGACTGATACAAACATGAAGCCAATGTCACACATTTGTAAAAACAACAACAGTATTCTGTACCTGGATGATCTCATGATAATTGGGAGCATAGGAGTCGTCAACGGGCTCCAAGAAAGGCCAAGAATCTTTGTGGGCTTTCAGGGCTTCAAGCACTGAAGAACAGAGTAGAACAGACATTCATCCGAATGACTGTAAATTTACATCGACATGTTTTAAACCCAGCAACTGCATTTAGTATGGAAAGGGAAGATGTAAGATTTTTGGAAATAATGTCACAGACCCCGACATTGGTTCTAAAAACAAAAATAAATATCAACCAACTGCATCACTAAACTCGTATACAGTTTGTGGCTTATTCCTGCTTGTTTGCCATTACAATGGTGTGTTATGACGAGGAGTAAAAAGCATGAAACATGTAAGCCGAACCACAATTAATACCTTAAAACTGCCAGCATTTGAAGTGGATAACATTAATTATTGTGTAGCAGTGTTGTTTTTCTGTTGAGGATATGCTGCTGGTAAATCTAAGGCCCTGGTATTCCTACAAAGACTAAAACTGCTCAGGTACAGTTAAGGAGCACAGCTCAATCCCCGCAGGCATCACCTCAAATCCACGGATAAAGCTCCAGCGTCAGACACCAAAGAGATTTCGCATCTTTGCCTGATGGGTCAGAGCCATTGTCTTTACACAAAGACCAGCTGTTACTTGTGTGTTGCTTTGAGTAACAGTTCCACTTCATTGTCAACTAAGGAAAAGAAACCGCTGGTCTTACTTTCTGCAATAGCGGTTCTTCTTTTTACATACTTTCTATAAGCAGCCAACTTCTGCTTCCCGTTTACACTACCACACATCTGCCCAGATGACGTGAATTGTCATGTGACGGGTACATGCATGTAAACATAGCAACAGGTAATAATTCTGCAGGCATACCTTTATAAAGAGCAGTGTAGTCATCATCAATTTCATAGCTGAAATGTTGAACATACGGCATGTTAGACGGGCTAAAATAACAGCAATCATGAGTCGCTAAAGCAGATAGTGAATCTGAAACTAAATGTGAACAACTTCCTACAATTCTTTATTCTTGCGTGTTCTCTGGACGGGAGAGGATGGCTCCAGATTCAGGAGTTCAGGTGGTAGATCTTTTCCTTGAGACAGCAGCCAGGCCTTTTCTTCTCGCATCTTACGCCTTTTTGCACGCTCTAATGGAAAATCGTGAACACAGGGGGGCAATTAAAATCACAAATAATGAAAAACGCCGGTCTCAGAGTGCAGGTAAACAATGTTTGATTGCTTATTCAGACCCTACAGTTACAGTATTGATGTCTATTGAGACTGTCGGGAGCATTGATGAAAACCAGGCCTCAGATGTGACACGCAGCAGCAGCAGCTCAGATAAGTGAAGGAGAACGATTCATCGGCCATCTTTTCTTAGGCCAAGTTGATCAAAAGAGCAGAACAGAGCACAGAGAGTGCATATGCATAACCGCTTTATCTTTCAACATGAAAGGCACAGAGGCCTGGCAGCCCCCCTGCCGTTTGGATTAAAGATGTTTGAAGGAGGATTCCACATATGCAATACACAGAGTGTAGGGCCAGGTCCTGCTGTTCATCTATAATACAATAATGAGGCTCCTCTACTGAAGCACAATCAGCAGTTCATTAACCCTTGACAGATGACATCAGAGAAGAAGAAGAGTGATCCTGTGATTAAAGGCCCTGAGCATTCCCTTTCACAGTGTCTGTGTACTATACATAAATCTCAAGGCTTCAAATGCTGCTATGCTACTGCAGATTTTTCAGCTGGTGAGAGCCAAAGCACGGCAAAGAAGATGTGAAAGCCTGTGTGGGGAGTGCCCTTCATGATACATTCTGCCCTTGACAGAGCCGCCTACCTGCTGCTGATACATGACTGATGAGAGAATGTGAACTTACTGCTGCTTCTTAATATCTTACAACTTTCTTCATATACTACAATTCTTGGAAAGAGATTTTTCAAACTTCTTTTAAACACAAACAACATCTTGGCAGTGTGCTACTTGTGTTCCATCTATATCGGTAACCATCTTACCCTCCACAGCTTTGATCTTCTCTAGCTTCTCTCTCTGCCGTTCTTCCTGCAGAAGCCTTTCCTCTTCTCGTCTCTGCTCGGCCAGCAGGACCTGCCTGTCCAGCTCTTCATCTTTTTTCTTCTCCTCCTCCTCCTCCATTCCGGCCTTGAGATTGTCCTGGATGCACACACCCACAAAGTCTATTAGTCTACTCTTCTCTCACACCAGGAAAGCTAGATGTATAGAAAACTACACGTTTCTGTACATAAAAGAAACAATCAGGCCCTAAACCAACATATACAGCAGAGAGAATAAATGTACACAGTGCGTGTGCAAACATGTACTGTGCTGGAATGTCTTGCACTAAATATGTCTGTGGAGGTTCTCAGTCATCCAGCTCATCGTAGTCAAAGGAGCTTGCAAAGAAAAGCGTCTGGACTTCTTTAAGTTGCTTGAAGACGTTTCACCTCTCATCCGAGAAGCTACTTCAGTTCTAAGGTCAAATGGTGGAGAGTGAACACACCCGAAACTCTGGCTGATTGGGACCCACACCCAGTTTCACACCTTGGCTCAGGCGATTAGAGGATCGTCAGGGGGCCCTTTGTCCCTCTGTGGGGGGAAACTCCCACTAGGTTTATATCTGGGACTCTCCACCATTTGACCTTAGAACTGAAGAAGCTTCTCAGATGAGAGGTGAAACATCTTCAAGCAACTTAAAGAAGTCCAGACGCTTTTCTTTCCAAGCTCCTTTGTCTTGCACTAAAAACCAGATAAGTGGATGACATGCCCGTTGTATTGCTAAATAAATCGGCACAGCTTATTCTGACATTGTTAGGTGTGTAACACTACCTAAAAAGCATAGCACAGACAAACACTCACCCTCTCCTCGTGTTTTATGTGATTTTGAAAGAACCGCTGGGAAACGCGAACTGGGTTTGGGTCCAGCAGCTTCTGCTTCTGCTCACGCTCCTGAAATAAAAGACATGTAGTTTGGTTCTGCTCCTCATGCCTCTTATGACACACAGGGACTCGTGAACTGGAAACTGTTGTGTCTGTAATGCTTTCTCGTCCACAAATGCAACTTTCTTTTAAAACATCACATACGGTTTGTGTAATTCATTTTGTCTAAAGCCAACACACTGACAGACACTCTGGTGTTGCGGTGCAGCAGTGACTATAGCAAAGTCATTGATTCATTTCTCCCATCCCCCAAGTGACTCTCTCACCTTTGCTCCCTACTCTTCCATCTCTGCTTGGGAAGAAAATTAACATACTTGCACCAAAAAATAAATCACAACCTGTGTGATATTATTGTTAGCTTGTGGTAGTGTACAATCTGTTCTACAATAGCCTATCTGGCAACTTTTGAGCAGGGAACTTCATCCAAAATATACAGTACAGAGCGTGGAGGGTTAATGAGCGCTGACGTGTCAGAGAACCAGTTAGAGCAAACAGAAAAGGAAGGAAACACCAGCCAACAGAGCGCCAAGTGGTTTCTGAAATCCTGTCTATATCAGGGACTGTCCCCTGCAGCTTATGTCAGAGTACATCCAGGATGTAGGACTATTAAGGGTTGCCACCCTGGCACAGGTAACACCTTGCTAGATAACAAGTAGAGAGTCCTAAATATGCATTTGCCGCTATATAAACAAAGTCAGACGGTCTGTGCGTGCAGGTAGGGAAGCAAACAAATGAGGAAGGAGCCCACTGCGGAGAAGATTAAAATGAAAAAATACTGTTAAAGGAGACAGATGTTTACAACCTAACGTGCTTTCTAAAACTAGATAATGTTTTCAAACACCATCTTTTCATAAAAAATGAAAATAAGATCATGTCTGCCGTTGTCTCAAGCGGTCCATCGTGACACGTACCTATCAACGGGCCCACTTTAGACATGCTCTTACTGGAAAAGATTCACCTGATGTGAGCAAGGTAGCAGCGCAAGCCCACGTGGTCACTATGAATCAATGGGACAATTAGCTGTGGAACTATCACATGGGCGCAATCAGAAAGCACACCGACTCTGTATCAGGGAGCTGGCAGGCTACAGACGTCTTACACCCAATCACACTGAACAATTGGGTTCTCACATTTGCCTCCGCCTGGTAATGTGTAGAAAAGTTCAGGGCAGCAGTCCACATGTGCTCATGAGCCCCCGCGCCACCTCTGTTTCGCCTCAATGGGAAACACTGACATCTCCCCAGGCTTCACAATTCTTCCCCGTATTACCGCAAGTCCATCATCTGACACGCACACACATGATCGAGTGCCTCTGGTGTCACCACTTAGAGAGGTCGACAGAATCCTGCAGCACAGCAAAGCTGTCACTCAAGAGTCTCCATTCTGCCCCAAGGTGAGCTCCTGCCAGCTGTCAGTGCCCCGTGAAATGGCTGATGACAGCAGACTGAGACATGTGGAAGATTTGGGAGAATATACACACTGACACTCTCATGTGAACACAGAGATATTTATAGCCACACATCAGGCACTAACACATACTTTGAGAGAGAGCAAGACAAACAATCCTACAAAATGGCCATGCAAAACAGATCACAGTGCAGGCTGCAAACTACATGTACGTACTACATGCAGCCTTGTAGAAGCTGTATATCACACAGACACTTTCCCCTTAGCTGTTATTTCAAAGTGCAAACAAGTATTTACAAAACTTTCATTTCATAGCACAGACTACCAAACAGAAAAAGTATACATGCACTATTTCTGAAAAGCTTTCATTTCTGGTTGTCTAATATAAATTTGGTCTATGCAGCAAATCAAGCACAGAATATACACCATCACAGCGGCAGTGTAATTAATATAATTACCAAGCACAGCATCCTAATGTGATCTCCTGCTGTGTGATCTATATTATAAATAAGAAGCTCACTATGGGAATGTGCATTCCTTTAATTGAATCTGTTATTTGAGCAAATTTAAATGAATCAGTTTTCACCCCATACTGTGATCGCGTTTGGCAGAGGGCCATCTCTTCAAGTCCAGAGTGCGGCGGCGCAGAGGAAACGCCAACAAGCCAAAAACCCCTCATCCAGCTCTACTTATATTATGTAGAGAAGCTATAGACAGACTTTGAATGCCATAGAAATGTGCGCACAAGTAGAACAGCAGAGGGTGTGACTGATGAACGACTCAACCAAATTCACTCATTCATAACCATTTGCAATTACTGAGTGACCTCTCGGCTGACATTAACCTGCCTTCAGGATTCTTGACTTCAATGCTGATGACGGCAGAAAAAGGATCGTTCCTATAGCAACAGCCACGGCTGGTTATACATCACTGGAGTAGACAGCATCCACTGATCTTTATGCAATCAGGTGGGATCAAAACAGGAACCTAGGTTTGCTCGACTAGCTGTAGCCGTCAGTGACTCAAATTAATTCCTTTGCAAAGTAAAGAAAGCAGTGCTGGCTTAGACATGCTGGAGCAGAGTGTGCACATCATCTCCCATTAAAGCACTCAACACCAATTATACCTTAACCGACATATGACCAATCCCAAAAAGCTGACTAGGGACCAGCTTTCCTTGACTCCACCTATTGTGTAGCACAGTCGAGAGGTCCTACAAACAACTGTTGTAAGACAACCAGAAGATAAAAGCAGCTGAACTGAGATGAAGGAATATCAGTAATCTTAAAACCCGAGATTAGATTAAGGAAACAGGAAGAAAGAAAAGACGACAGCAGTCAAGTGTACATCAATAAAATTCAATTTGCATATTCAAATGTCATCACTGTCACATTTGGGATGTCTCATTTAGCCGTTTATGAGCTGGTGTTTCATCAAAATCGCCCTGGCGCTTGCGACTTGTCACACAAACGAGGACAAATTAAAGTCTGTGTATAATCGCTTTCATATTAACGAATCTACAGCCTATCAAAAACAGAGGACGCATAGAAGGCGTTGTATGCTGGTGTAATGGAGACTGATGGTGGTGTCTCTGGTGTCTGACCTTGTGCTCAATCATGTTGCTGATCTCAGGCAGGAAGTTTTGGCTAATGACACGGTAGAGGTGGCGATCCTGTGGGGAGGTTTTGTCCTTGATGCTTTCTGCCAGACTGAGCCACTGCTCCTCTGTATCACACACCAGCGACCAAGCGCCTCGCTTACGGCCTGCACAGAAAAGAAAGGAAAAACAACATCGGACCACTGATTCTAGGGAAAAATGCAAACAAAGGGGAAAAAAATGTCAGGATATAAAGCACAACGTTTCTTTACCTGTGGTTGGGGGAAGATCTTCCAATTCATGTTCCATCTTCACCTCTGGCACATCACTTTCCACCTCACTGTAAGAAATATAAAGCCATGAAGTCCCTACAAAAAAATGGCATGCTTAAAAGTAACTCTGGTATAAGAGCTGATCCTCCACAACTACTTTTTGGAATTAATTAAAATTCCTCGCTACACACATGGTGAGAATATGGTTAGAGAGCGTGTGCTCAAGAAATACTCCATTAATCATTTATTACATTTTGGGTCCAGCAGTAGGATAAAGGTCAAGTCAACAACTGACTGAGAGCAAAGGACATGAAGACCCAGATCATCAAAACCTGGGCGAGTATCGTTTTCACACGGGAAACAGACGAGCTCATCTGCACAGCACATGCCCGAATCTAAACGTCTGTGTCTCTGCCCTGTTAGTACTGACAGCAAAGTTTGTCTTGTTTTTGTTTACCTTGGTGAATCTTCCAGCTTTCTCTTCTTTGGTGGTCTTCCACGTTTCTTTTTCTCTGGTAATGTTAGTTCTGTTGTTTCATCACTGGGGGGGGAAAAAAAAAAAAAAAGCAGGTTAAAAGGTTAAAAGTACAGCTTAGGTAGGAATAAAAGACAAGTAAATTAACCCTTAAGAGGACTCTAAACAAGTGGTAACATTTTATTTCAACTGAACACTTCAACATTCAGCTAAGTGCAGATGATTCATTCGTGGTTGACAGAAAAAGAAGCATTACCTGCGTTTTCCTACTTTCTTTGTCACTGGCTCTTCTTTGTACATGCGAGTGCCGTAAAAGTACCAGTAGAGGGCTCCATTTCCATCATGCCCCAGGGGTTCCACCCTCAGGCTGTCTGCATCCAGGCCCTGGAGGTGGCGGGGGTGGGGATATAACATTTCTTAAATAATATGCAGTGTGTCATCAGAGGGTGATGTCATTTTAGCTCTTTGATCGTACAGAGGCGTGAATCATGTGCTGACAATAAGTACTTTCGATATCTTGTTAAGAGTGTTCATGAATTATAGCAGTTTACAGTTTAAAAATTAGAAACCGATTGACAGTACAGGGGTAAAGCCTCAGATTATGATAACTCCACCTTAGTTCATGGCAGTAAATATACTTTTAAAGAACAGTAAAACTAAGATCTTGCACTCTTAGGCCAAAGTAAAACGAGGCAGCTGCTCAGTGACAAATATATCTGACTATGCTTTAAAGCTGAACAGCTGGGTGAACGAAATCATTCATCATGTTGTCAAAAAAGCAAACTTTAACAGTACACATGTACACAACTCGGCAGCATTAATGGAGCATGGAACCTTTTATGTACAATTACTGACTCAATACTGAGTGAATGTTTAACTCTTTAATAAATTGTGAATACATTATTATGATCACATGTATTCTTTTAGTCACCTTAAGCAGGTCAAAGACATCAGCAGCATCCAGACGGTAATCACACAGCCGGTGCAGCAGTTCCACCTGAGTGCGAGGGGGTAAGCTCTCAAAGGGCCCCTCTCGAAGTGGGTTGGGTTTCCCCTCTTCCAGCTCCCAGCGGTAGCTGATGATGTCGTCCAGGTAACTGCTAAATGCCTGGGGGCTAAACAGTAGAGCGGCCTTACTCATCTCTGCCGTATTGATTTTTAGATGTCACTCTACTGGGTTAGCTACACCTCGAGTAAATTTGTCCTTTTACACATCTTAATCATGAAAGATTATTAAATCAGAATTAAGCACTAGCTGCATGTCAAAAATAACAATCCAACACAGGGCTTCACTTTTGTACTGAGATTTCTATGGATGGCTAGATTCAACCAATTCAGTTGCAAATCTTGGCACTGTAAACCCAACGCAGCATGCTTCAGTACAAACTAGCATCGCTTTCTAGGAAACAGGCAAGGTTCACACTATCATACAGGCTGGAAAAAGAGAGGAGGTGGGGCTGGTTTAAAAAAGAAGAAGAAAAGAACTAGTTTCTTTGAAGGGGAGTTGTGTTGTATCTATGAGTGAAAACTGGTAAATAAATGTTGGTTCCGGTTCAGGTCTAGCCGATTAATCTGTACCGTTCAGTTCCAGCTCACATGAACAGAACAAGAGCTTGGGGCAAGGGTGAGCATCTATGGAACAGCACAGAGAAAGAGGGAGAGAAAAAAAATGGCTTATCTTGAAAGAGCAGCGTGCACTTTTCACACAGCTGCAGGCTCGCCCCTCCTCACTACTACCCCATCTCTCTCCTCCTTTCTGTCCTTCGTTTTCTCCGACATCCTCCCTCCCTTCTTTCCCCCGCTCCGGCAGAGCGTTTAACGCGTGCGGATGAAAAGGGCAGCTCTGTGAAAGGCCAGGGCTGAGCAGCCACCCCCAGGATGCCAGAGCCTGTCCAGTCCAATAAAGCAGGCTGTCCTCTTGTTACCGGCTGCCTGGCTGGAAAAACTGGATCACTCCTGCTCTGTGCTTATCACTGTACTGTACCACTATGCTACTCTATAACGATGGGTTAGATTAACAGGCGTATCGAAGGGGAAGCCCCATGGGAGGTAGAAAACATTTGCGGATTTGAATAACAGCCTCTGCTTCGCGTTCACTTTCTCCCACCACTTTATAGAAAAGTTTCTGTGGCTACGCCGTTTTCGGATCACCGCGGTAGTAAACATGATGTCACCATACCACCTATCACTACTTTCAGCGCTCCTTATGGTGACTAAGTTCTGACTCCTCAGTGAGTTATTGCGCTCGTGACTCAGACTTCCTATGAAGCTTCCTGGGTAGTATGACTAATTTGAAGAAGATGGAAAGACAAGTTTTATCTTGACACATTTAAGTAAAAATGGTAATTCTTTTCCATTGTGCCTCTGCTTCATTAAAAAAAAAAACAAAAAAAAAAAACTAAATTTGAATTCCAACTTCCACCACTACTTAGACCTACAGTCAGCTACGAAGTAAATTTCCCACGCCACTTGGAGCAGTTTTAAGCAGCAGGAAAATGTGAATGTTCCTGCTTATATTCACCTATTTATTATCTTTCAGAACAAATGTAACTAAAAATATTAAACATACTATAAGAAAGCCAAACATCAGCCATCTACACGCTGCCTCATTTAACACGTTCAATTATGTAAAAGTAGCTAAGTAGCTGGTCCTACACTCAAGACTCCATGATTAGGAGAGTAAAACTGGGCTTAAAATTAAATGTTCTTACCCTCATTGTTTAGAAAACTGTAATAAGTTTTGCTTTATTTCTAAAATGTGAAAAGATTTAAGGGGACCTCCTTACTGTACTGGACAGCGATCTCAGCTCTGAAATGTGCACACCTCTATCTGCAACAAGTCAACTTGTTGCATTTTTATTATGTCCAAATAAACTTTGGTTCAACCCCGGGGTTCTATCATGAATCAAAACTTTTTCGGTCGTCCCCTTCAGACACGCGTTTCTTGCCAAAAGTGACCTACGTCACGCTGCCAGCCGTGTTACGCATCCCACGTCTGAAAACGGCTTATGTGTTACAGGTGGTGTTACACAAGCAGACCTGATGTGACCTGGCAGCGTTTGCTATATGCCAGGTTCTTTTTCTATTCTTTACTTACGTGATGTCAGTGCGCTGGTAGCATCCCTGCAACAGACAGGCAACGAGATCCCCAAGGAAATCCAAGTCCTGTTCTGACAGGGCTTTCTCCAGCTCCTGGACACAGAGGACACAGTCAATCAACATGTGAAGAAACTACAAGCACTTAGCAAGCGATAACTGTGCAAACAAACAGAGAAATGCATCTCGCAAATGAAAACTATCTAAAAAAATAAATAAATAAATAAAAGGCAAAAGTATTGTGACTGGGAAATAAACAGGTGGCTTTCTGTGTGTTTAGACTGTTGGCCACTATAAAGGAAGTGGTATGTGATCAAAATGGAGAAACTGCTGGGATGAGTGTAAGGTAAGCTGGCAGATTTCGGTGGGAGGTGTAACAGCTAGAGCTCGCATCCTGTCTCATTAAGGCGTCTTGGTTTGCTGGTGCTTGTTGGGCTGTAGCTGAGGTTCAAGTTCAGTCATGACCCCTCTCCTGCCTGGCATTGTGTTATAGTCATTTAGGTTTTATGAAGCGGCAATAACCGGCAGAGCAAAATCTCAAAGATCTGAAAGCACCAAGAAAGGACAGCAGGCAGCAGAGACCGAGAGCTACAACACAGACATGCCCCTTCTCCTCTGCTGATCAACCAAGACACTGGACACCACACAGCTTCCCAGCATGCACAGCTCTCCTTGATCACACCCAAGGACTCTGAAGTTGAGCCAGAGGGAAGAGAAGGAAATGCATATGAACAGTGTTCCATCAACCTAGTGTCCGTTTCATTTAAAAGCACCCTCCCGTAGGATACAGAGCAAACTCTTCAAAGCTCATACAGACGGCTCGCAGCTAACCACTCCCACCCCTAATAACCATTGCTTTCACACCAACAACTTCTGTTGTTGGTGTCACTCTTGCCCCTCTTTCACAAGTACTTCTGCACCTGTAGTACTTGTGAAAGTCCTATAAGTGCTGATCGGTTCTCTCAGCTTTAACCAGGGAAAAGAAATGACGCATCAATTACTTAAGGTCCTTAAAGGTCAGTGTACACACCTCTTTGCTGTGGAAATGACAGAAGCCGGTACACAACAAGTTGGCTCAATGAAAAAACAAAAAGAGAGCCAAAAACAACAAGGTTGTGAAAGAAGTTGAAAAACAGGATAAGATCAACGTTTCTGCTCGAGGTTAGGAACGTAAAGAGCATGAAGGAAAAACGAAAGAAAAAATGCAAACCAGGAGGGCGAGTTTCATAAGAGCGGATAAGAATCGCGTCTCGTGATTGAGAAGAACAGCTCATTATGTTTACAAGCGCACTGAGGCTATTTTAAAAGCCTGAAGATTGACATGGTCACAGTGACCACAGTCAGACTGTAATGGATTTTAGGTGTACGGCTTAAACTGTAGGCTTTACGAGTGTGTGACTGCCAGGAGCAAATCAAAGTCTATTTTAAGTTCTGAAGTAGCCAGACATGTAAGATTTACCGACCACAACTTTTGCCTTGTTGTGGTTAAAAACGAGGCACAATTTCTTGTCAAGGCCAGTGCATACCAATAATTGGGTGATCATTACCAACCCTTTTAAATACTACAGAATTGCATTTGTATTTCTACAGCATTTTTGACAAGTTTAATAAATCTCCTGGTTGTGCAGCACATGCTACAAGACCAGGAGTAACAGTGATAGACAAACTCAGTAATGTAAGCAAGACTGCATTTAAGGACATTATTTTGCCACTTTGCTTCGAGTTATGAAAATCAGGTTGGAATACCTTCCTAAACGGCAGTACTGCGTACTGTATATCAAGTATAGATCAGGTAGACCGAGGTTTAACAATAGAGACTCCTTAAAGTTCTTAACATGTGCTCAGGCTAACTCACTCATCATGGGGTGGTCACATATGCAGAAGAGCTCTTTCGCAGCGCGAGCTAACTCTGGATACAAAGACACACGTGGGCGTTTGTCTGTAAGCGCATGTGCATAGGACGCAGTGAGATCCTGTGTCATGCTCTTCCACTTCCAGGTCCCCTGTCAGGCAGCCTCTGGGCCAAAGTGAGCACATCCATCAGAGACAAACTGCACTTTGATCACACTTTGAAAAAAGCCGGGGCCAAGGCTGGGGAAAGAGTTCAGAGTTGAGTACAGAACAGCAAGTGGAGGGCTCGCTGCAGCCCACTGGATGAACAACTCTTCCCTAACTTTGAAGTGCCACACAGTCTGTCAGATGGCAAAGGGAGGGGAAATTACTGGGGTCTATTTGCTCTTTCTTCTCTCACCCATCCATTGACCAATCCCTCTGTGGCCTGTTGCTAACAAACAGTTAGCACGATAAAGGACTGCAAGGGACACCGCTGCAGCTGGAAGCGTCCTGTGGGAACCTTTTGCCTCGATAAGCACATGCACACACGCAACGCAGCACCCAAACTCACTGCACTGACACTATAGACAACAGGCAAAAAACACACCAATGACAATCCATTCAAACGTGTACTTTGACTGCCCAACATTAATGATCAATGGGGCCGAACGATAAAAAAGCTGAATAATTGATAAGATATAATTTGGCTATAATTTCCATAAATCAAGGTGAGCTGTCAGATTTATTGGCAAGATACTGCTGTGAAAAACCGGCTATTCATTTCAGATACTGGGACAAAGATTGGAGTCAAGGTTTAGTCAAAAGGTGTGTGTCATCACTTCACTCCCTCTGTAGGCCTGGCTTGCAATCAGCAATTCGCCCTGAAGGTATTTGCCACTTCTTTCACCAGACGCCCCTGCTGTTTCTCTCTCTGCTCCTCTCACTGGCTTAACCTCTTATTCCTCTCTTTCACACCATTTTCCTCCCCCTGCCTTGCTGCCCAGTGTCTACAGGGCCTCTGAGGCATTCTATTATTCCCCTGACAACACCCTTGCTCCACTCTCCACCCCACATTTTCCTTTCTCCATCTTCCTTATCTGTCCTCTCCCTCCGCACATTATCCACACCCAAACCAGTTGTTGGCTTCACTGGAGCTGAGGGCAGAATAGCAAAGTAGAACTCGTTTGGCAGGTATTCTCCGCACTACGTCATCAGTGAGATGGACCGGCCACATCCACTGAAACAACTTAAACTGTTTGGGTCACTGCTTTGTCTATTCAGAGCAGCAGACAAGTGCGGAAAGTAACACCCATGGTGACAATGTGGCTAACCACTTGTTCTTTTCAAAAGGCCCAATCACACCTAACGAGTCTTCATTAACATTTGCAGAATAAAATGCCTACATTCTCAGTTCTGTTATTCAGCCCAGTTGACACCATTACTTCTGAATCTCATTTTTATAAACATGTACAAATTATTGTGTCTAAAAAGGTTCCAGTTACTACTCACAGCATGCCTGCCATGACTAAAGTCAGAACACCAGCAAAGCTTACAGATACAAACAAATGATTGTTTATTCTTCTTCTGTAAAAAAGAAATTCAATTTTGCTATTGAAACTTCTAAATGTATTATTCCATCATTTACACCAAGCTAAATTACTGCATTTTAATGAGACTGACTATAAAAATAGATTAATGACTGTATGTTTTGGCTCCAAGTATCTAACTATTTACAAATGTCCATTCATCTGTGATAAGCACTTTCAGAGTCTTTGTCCACCTCATGCAGATAACGGTAAAAAGGTATCTTTTTTTATGCTTATGGCCAAGTAAGAAGCGGCAATATAGACATCTCAGGGGAAAGATTATTAAAGCTATACCTATTTAACTGCCAAAACACCCCAGAATTTAAAGTCACTTCATTGATAAAACCTACTAATACTTGCAATGTCTTTAACAATATGATTTATACAGGCAACTCCTTATTCAAGAAGAAACCATGACAATAATGTGCTGTGTCTGACTATATCCGACTGCATCTGCCTGAGTCAACAAGTTTCAGTCATTTCTTAATTTCCTCCTCCTTCAAACTTTGTCTAAACATAGACCACAGGCCTGGTTTGGTAACCACGCATCTGTATCAGGGCTGGATTTTGACAAAGAACTTTATACAAATGCCTCCTAGAGACGGTGAAAATAAACACTAAATTTGCAAAACACAAAAGATAAGGAGACATATGGACAAACCAGGACAACGCTTGATTTAAGCTCGATTAAGACTTCTGCAGGAAATAACTTATGTAGTAACTGAAAAACTCCTATGCTTACACCTCAATCTTCCACTCAAGTCGTGGTGGTATGAGTCGCCCCAACATCTCGGGAGGTGCACATCGTGCTACGTAGAAGGTTGTAGCATAGGATTAAAATGGGATTCTGGTTGTGGTGCAAGTTACAACGTAGCTCTGACGCAGAAGCATAATTTTCATGTTAGAAGTTAAATCTTACCCCATCTCTCCAGCTAGTATTGATCCAAAATACATGTGTGTCTTAACAGTTTACTGAGATGTAGACTGATACTCTCCCAGCTGTATTTAGTACTAAAGGAGGCAGACACGTTCTATCCAGTCACAGCTGTCTCATAAGAGTGGGTCCATCATGGACTGACTGTGTATTCAATAAACCTGCATTATGTGCGGGCACATCTGCTGTTATAAGGGTTACAATGATACCACTGGGACAAAACACAGTCTGACTCTTTGATATGAGAATCAAAGTGGTAAATGTTATGAGACATGAATCAACTGAAAGGAGGAGAAGACCTGACTTTCTGAAAGAACACTATCAAGGCTAAAAGCAGCCAACAGATTTCAATGCAAAGCAGAAACGCTGCATATCCAGATAGAAGTGAAATCTGCTTTTGTCAGTGGATGCTAACGGACCCATCATGTGCCCCAAACCATATCTGCACAGAGAGAAAACCTGAGATAAAATGTGTGCATGTGTGTCTCTGGCCAGTACCACCTGTAGAGTGAAAAAGAAGGGGTTTAGATAAGTGGCATTTTGTATCAGCGGCTCCAAGGTTAAAGCAGATCCTCAAAGCCTTTAATATCTGGAGGTTGGCCTCTCCGGCTACCCTCACAGCAGACACTTTCCATGCCACTGCCGTTAACAGCTCCTCCGGGGTCTATATCACCAACAGTTGGAGGACGTGTGCATGGCTAGCTGGAGGGGGAAGGGATGTCTGTTTGTTGTGTAAAGGCTCC